GTTCGGCGAATCGTGACGTCACCCCATTCAAAGTGAATGGGCAGAAGCGTTGAAGCGGCAACGCACGCCGCCGTGTGTAGGGGCCGTTAGACGGGGGCGGGGCGGGGCGGAGCGGAGCGGGGTGGGAAGTGTAGCACAGTGGCAGGGTTGGGAAGCAAAACTCGGTTCTGAGTAGGAACAAATAACAATTGTCCGGTACCGGGATTAATAAGAGTTGTGAGGACAGGAGGCGAGGCCGAGCCCCGCGGACTGCAGCTCTCTCATATGCTCCGTATCAGCTGATCGCTGCACGGTGCAGCTCAGTGTCTCTCTCTCTCTTTCTACACACAGCGGATCCGCTGCCCGTTTAACAGCCTCATCTTTGTCAAACTTTCTTATGTTCTTTCTCTAACACGTAATGAAGGTTATTAATCGTTTTAGCTCCTGTGTTGTTAATATTGACCGCCATTTCCTTTATGAAGTAAAGCAGCCTCCCTGTCTGTGTCCTCGCGCTGTCCTCACATCCCCGGACCCCCAGACTCGGAGCAGCGCAGGGATGTCAGTATTGTTTATGAAGCAGGGTATAGAAAGTAGCTACATTATTGAAATGAAAATACTATTTATTTACTTTTACAAACAGTGAGCAGCTGGGCAGCTGCAGCATGTGTATTGCAGGACATGTGTAAGAGTGCAAGCGTCTTTGAGTTGTAGAAAAGCGCTAGGCCTATAGGCTATACATATAATGTATTATTATTATTAGGTTATGTCCTATGTGTTGGACATGTGTGGTTGGACTCTGTCTCACAGGCAGGTTGCAGTGTAACATCAGAGGACACTGGGCCAATTGTACATTCTCAAACTGCACCACTTAGAACTAACTAAACAATGCAGAGATTATTTTTATATAATTGTATTCAATAACCGTAAGAAATTAAACAGTATGAAGTGATTTGTAAATAGGAATACAGATTTGACTTAATGTTTTCATAAATATATTTTTCTCCCAGTTTGACTTATTTTTACCCTCTCAAAGAACCGGAATCGAGAACCGAAAATAACCGGAATCGAAAAGCAGAACCAGAATCGTTAAAATCCAAACGATACCCAACCCTATGTGTGATGCAGTAAAATCTTACCGCTCACTTACGTTAGCGGTGTCGTAAAAACCGTGGGAAAATGTAAAATATGATGACGAAGAAGAAGATTCCAGTGGCCCCAATTTTTGTCCATTCTGGACAAGTGAACAATGTATTCGGACAAGTAAATTGCCAAACTCACTTGTCCATGGACAAGTACTCTCTAAAAACTTTTTCTCACACTGGCGTTGCTACCCAGTTGTGTAGTAAATTCCCAAGCCTGTTTGTGTGGCACTGCTCCAATCATCGTCTAGAGCTGGCAGTTGGGGATGTGGTCAAGGAGGTCTCAGGGCTCAATCATTTCCAGATCTTTTTTGACAAACTCTATTCCTTGTTCCATGCCTCCCCCAAAAATCAGAGGCAGTTAGCGCAGTGTGCGCAAGCAGTCGGACAGCGTCTCCTGGTGATAGGGCATGTTTTGTCCATCCGCTGGGTGGCTTCAAGTGAAAGGAGCGTCAGAGCAGTCTGGGAAAACTACCGAGTGCTTCATGATCACTTCACAAATACTGCAAACGACACGAGCAGGGATTCCAGAGACAGAGCAAAGTACAAGGGCCTGGATGATGTGCTCACATCTGCAACGTTTGTCAGCAATCTGGGACTGATGTACGATGCGCTCACAGAGCTCAGCGACCTCTCTCGGCAACTCCAAAAAAGAGAGATGACACTGCCTACAGCAGATAGGCTCTTAACTCGAGAAATACGAGTTTTTGAATCCATGGTCACCATGCCTGGCCCACACATGACTACAGTTCATACAGCTCTAGCTGAGAAGTCCTTCAAGGGTGTTGCCCTGCGTGAGAATGGCAGGCTTGTACAGATTCATGCAGGTCAGTTTTTCCGCAGTATGGTAGAGAATCTGAGACACAGAATGACTTCCACAACCTCCTCTCATGTCAGCACAAGAGAAATCCCATTACATGGCCGGGAGGCCCGGGACAATCAGCTAATCCAGGACATGAAAGTTATCCATCCTGGAAGTTGGCCTGAAGAGGAGTTAGACGTACAGTATGGGGACGTAGAGGTGCTACGTTTGTGCGAAGTGCTGAAAGTGGACAGAAGAGAGACTGTTCAGGGCTTTCGCGAATACAAGGAAACCAGGGCATCCCGTACACCTGCTGCCATGGAGCCTCTACTGAAAGCAGTCCGAACCATCGCTGTCTCCACTAGTGAGTGTGAGCGGGCATTCAGCTGCATGAACGATATCCTTACTGCAAAAAGGAATGTTCTCTCTGTCAGCCGACTGTCCAGCCTGGTTTTCATTAAATGTAATGGACCATCACTAGGACAGTTCAATCCGGAACAGTATGTGAGGTCCTGGCTGGCAAAGGGAAGGAGAAGTGCTGATGAAAGAGCCTGTCCAGCTCCAGCCCCTGATACTGATGTCCCCAAGGCCTTCTGGAGCCTTTTCTAACAATGTGAAGTATATTGCAAAGCAGCTCACCCAGTGAGAAGACTTTTGGCATAATGTGCCGATTTGTACAGATCCTGGAGATAGAATAACTTCAGACCAACCAGGGAGTTATCTGATCAGCTTGGTGTTCAATGTAACTCTTTACCATGGCTCAGACTTTGTTACTTGCAGTTACAGTTTCTCATTTTAGATTGTGCACATTTTGCATTTGTTTTTACATGTTCTTTGTTCATGCTCTTTATCATTTTTCTGAGTTGGAAAGTTAGATTGCATCATAGTTTACTTTATACATATTTGTATTCTTCAGTGGTGAAGTATATTGCAAAGCAGCTCAGCCATGTGAGAAGACTTTTGGCACTTTTTCGTTTTCTGAGTTGGAAAGTTAGATTGCATTCAAAATGTACAGAAATACTTAATTTTGTTAAAGCTTTTTATAAAAAATGCTTCTGACCAGAGCTTTGTTTCCTTGTCATTAATGTTGAACACCACCAGAGGGGCTCTCACCTGAAAGGTCTTTGCTTCATGTGTCTTCAGCAGAAGATCTAGACTTTGATTGCTATATTTTCAGTTAATATTGACCTTACTGAGCTTTAGCCATATCCGCTGCCTATCATAAAAAATGTTAAGTACAGTGAACCTTTCTAAAATATACAGTAGTAAAGAGACAAACCCACCAGCATTATAGTAGCCAAATTCTTGTTTGTGGGCTGTATATATAAAATTGACTTGAAAAAGTTGCTGATTTTAGAGTACTGGCACCTTTTTCATTCCAATTCAAGCACTGGCCTCCATGCATTCATTGTTGGCTTCTCTGTGGATGCTGTCTGAGCAACAATGGAGCTGGAGAAAAGAAGAGGCTTAATGGAAATAGAATCAGCTTTATAAGGGATGCACTATATCAGGGGTGGGGAACCTCCGGCCCCCGGGCCGTATACGGCCCTCGAGACCATTTGGTACGGCCCTCGAGGTAATTTATAAACACACGCAAAAAAGAAAAAAATTAAAGAAATCTAGACCGCAAAAGAATTAAACAAGCGAGTGCCTGTTTTTCCTGTCCAAGGTCAGGGTCCTTGAACACAACACGAGCCTAACGTGTCATCACGTGGTTATGTCTCGTCTGACAGGGGTGCAATTCTGACGGAGAGCACCAGAACGTCGCTCCGGCACTTCAGAAACTGCAGTACCCATAAGGAGCCGTACACATGCCGCAGTTTCTGCGTGGCTGTGTCTTTAGTTGTAAGCCCAGTGGCGATCTGTTCATCTGTCATACTGATCATACAGTCAATAACTTTGTTGTTATTAGCATCTGGTTAGCTAGCTATGCTAACGAATATAAGAAGCTTTTTCTACAACCAGTGAGGTAAAGGCACCTCTTTATATGATCATTATAGTTATAACAAAATAAGAGAATAAAGTAAACAGGTATAAAATACTATATGACAGTAAAAAAAAGTTAATAAACAAGAACACAGTTTGAAAGGGGAGTGATTTGTAAAATATCCATAAAGAAAAAGAAATCTGCTTACAGTTGTGTTTCATATGGGTGTTGAGAGATGTCTCCATAGATCTCCTAATGTTGCTCTCAAAGTGCACCAGATTGATGCTTTCAACTTCAACATTTAAAAAAATCTTCCCGGGGGAGCTTGCCCCCGGACCCCCCAAGAGGAGGTGAGGACCCCCCTAGAGGAGGTGAGGACCCCCCCTAGAGGAGGTTAGCTCCCCCCCCCCCACTTAAATCATGTCCACATGGATAGGAAACTAAATACATTTGCACACATCTTGTGTCCATATCTTTCTGTTTTGGTGGTCATGCCACACCGTGCACATGCATACCACACCGTGCACGTGCATGTATGCACGAGTCATGGTGAGATATCTGGATTAAGAGGTTGCTTTTTCTTTGCACAGCATGAAAGAAAGGCCAAATGAATGGGCTGTGATTTTAGTTTAAGCAGAGGTCAATCATTTGTACGGCCCCTGGAGGATGTTGTCAACATTGAAATGGCCCTTGAGAGGAAAAAGGTTCCCCACCCCTGCACTATATGGTTCAATTCACAATTTAGTGTTTTAAAAAAGAAGTTCATAACCAGTAGTTAATGGTCACCTGAAGTGAAGATAATGTAGTTATTTATTCCACTGTACCTAACCAAATCGAACTGACATAGCAACTGTTTACACCACAAAAACAAAGAACAGTTTAAACTCTTCAAATGTTCATTTATTTATGTACTACAACAAAAAACGTATATTGTAAATTGCAATCCTGCTTTTTCTATTGGAGTGTTTAGCTGCGGTTGTTAAGTCATTAAAAAGCAATATAACTCAGATGTACGGCCAAAGTGTATCAACTTAAATTCTATTATTGGAATAGTACCTAACAATATGACTTATCCCATCAGATGATCATTTATCATTCGAGTCGTATTGTAAATCTAACCCTAATCCTCTCTGTTTCTTTTCTCTCCGCTCAGACGCAGTCCCAGAGGACCTGGTGGAGCCTCTCTACAGGGACCAGTACAAGCAGGAGCACCTGAAGCCTCCGGTGGCCTGCCTGCTGCAGTCCGCTGAGCTCTACTGCCGGGCGGGGAGCCTGATCCTCCGCAGTGATGCTGTCAAACCATTACTGGGACACAACGCTGTCATCCAGGCCCTGGCTCAGAAAGGCCTGTACGTCACTGACCAGGACCGCCTGGTCACAGAGAGAGACCTGACCAGCACGCCCATACACATGGTGAGAGGTAGCTCGGTACAAGACTGAAAACATCCACATTTTTCTGAGGGTTTTACATTTTACAGTACAGTCTAATTTAGTTTTTTTTTCCTTTTTTTTCTTATTGTTCACACTTAAACATGCATATATGTTAGTAACCGTGGTGATAAGATGTGGGAAATGGGATCCCTGCATTTACATCTCCATCTGGTCTTCTGTAAATTCACACATAGGCTCACACACACAAGAATATGAACCTGGGCTACAGCTAAGGATTTATTTTCCCTAATTGTCTATAAAATCGTGAAAAAGATATGAAACAGAGAAAAAAAGCAGATTTACTATAAAAACAGTGAATGTTACTGTGTGTTTTGCTGTGTCTTCTTTCATGGGGAGTGAGTAAGTTATATGATAGTGTGTTTGCATGCACGGCTACATGTGTCTGATTGTTTGACTGTCCTCCAAGATCTGTCCCGTTTGGGGGAAAAACAACCGCTAATGACGGGTTTCCTATAGCAATCCATTACTCACTGTTCGCTCTGTGTGTTATTAGACAGTTCCTGGCAAACATCCCTCAGTGATACTCTGGTAGTATGTCAATACTGTGTGCAGCAATGAATGGACGAACATAAAAGGACTGCAACATGCTATTATTTAAATTATTGATTTTAAAATGTATTCTTTTTTTGAATATCAGAGTGGATTTGTTTGCAGGAGACAAAGACAATGGCCAAAGTAATGCACACATATTGCTAATTTGGTCAAAACGGGTCCAAAACACAAAGATGTTCAGTTTAAATGGAATATCCTCTCATCGGGGAGGCTTTCAGAGCACATTTTTGAGCATTTTCGCCTGATAAATGAATCCAGATATTATCATGACGTTGATAGATTTGTGTTGATTGCCAGAGATGGGGTCGTTACTAAAAAAAAGTAATATATTACATATTACATATTACTTTAAAAAAAAGTAATATATTACACTACTTCGTTACTCTCTACATAAAGTAACTCGTTACTTTATTCGTTACTTTACTCGTTACTTTACTCGCAGGGCCGGCCCGCCCCTACCTACAGGCAGATCACGCAGACTGCGGCGCACCTACAGTGTAAGCGTGCCACAGTTTTGCCTCTGCGAGACTCCACTTGCACCCCCAATTACTATTGCATTAAGGAAGACATAACACAAGTCTTTCTTTATGCTCTAAAATAGGCTACCAGCCTACCACAACAATCAATCAATCAATCAATCAATGTTTATTTATATAGCCCAATATCACAAATGTTACATTTGTCTCAGTGGACTTTACAGTTTGTACAAAATATCAGTATGACAATACGACACCCTCTGTCCTTAGACCCTCACATCGTACAAGGAAAAACTTCCGGAGAAAACCCACAGTTTAAAGGGAAAAATGGGAGAAACCTCAGGGAGAGCAACAGAGGAGGGATCCCTCTCCCAGGACGGACAGACGTGCAATAGATGCCGTGTGTAAAAACAACAAGCTAACAGTCTGTGAAACGTCAAGACACTAATGAATGAAACCAGTTCAAGACGCATTATCCTAATTACTTATTTAGTATTCCATAACTTAGTAACAGATATGGTCAAACTAAAGTGGTAGAGACATGGCAGAATTCCTACAATGAAGCGGGGCATTGAACTGTTCACCCGTGAGAGGGCGATCAACAAAAGAGAGCGAGCGGCCCCGTTGAGGGAGTTTACAGATGAAAAGACTCAGCCATGTTTATGCAGCACTGCACGTGGAGATGTGGTCTCGCAAATTGCGCAGATTACATAGGCCTACATGTATATAAACCATAGACTGTAAACCTGCGGCGGAAACCCCTCTTGTCTGTCAGTGAGTGTGATTATTTTATAAAAGTAACGAAGTAACGCGTGTCGGGGCAATGTTAGTAACTGTAGTGTGATTACGGAATTATAAAAGTAACGCGTTACACTACTCCGTTACCGACAAAAGTAATATTATTACAGTAACGCGTTACACACCCAACTCTGTTGATTGCCTAATTAGCTCGTTGTTTTGGGTCTAAAATATAAAATTGCCACTATTTACTGAACATGATTACAGTGAAATAGATTTGTTATGTTGTTTGAGTCTGGCTGCAGATCCATACCCACTGCTAGCACACACATGGCTGGAGTCCGGGTACTTCTGCTGACAGCAAAAGGTGTCTGCATTGCAGTGCACCCTCTCCCCCCCCCCCCCCCTCCCCCCCCCTCCCCCTCCTGCTCTCAC